CCCCCCATCCGCCCGGGAGGGGCCACCCCTGCCACAAATACCTGCTAACTCCAGAGCAAGGCCAGGTCAATGGGTTACAATTGTCTCTCCTGCTGCTCGGTAATCCGCTATTGTCTCCTATTCACAGCCACACTTGTTACGCTGGGGACAGACTGTGTGTGTGTTGGGGGAGGAGAGGGGGTTTCTCCTATGGGGACTTCGGAGCCGTCTGCTCCAGCAGTGGCTTTTAAGAGAGGCATCTGCCTCGGCAGAGAAACTCTAGAGCATGGGGGGGCGGAAAGCTGGGCTGGCCTCCCCCGGTGAACGAAGGTGAACATTTTACACGTCGAGCCACCTCAAAGCACTTTGCGAACCGCACCACTAAGCCCATCCGTCACTGCAGTGCACCCAGCTCTGGGGTGCAACCTCACAGCCGAGTCACACACAGGAAGGCGGCCGCAGGGGCCAGTTAGGCCAAAATTGGGGGGTGTAAACACCTGGGAGGGGATTTGAAGGGCAGGGTAGGTCAGGCTGGCAGCCAAAGCGTAAGGCAGGACCCCCAGGTTCATTTTACCAAAGCAGAAACGGACACAGAGCAGGGCACGTGCCTGAAATGGCTTCAGAGTGGACAGGTTGGGGCTGCATGTCCCTTCGGCTCCCGCTGCTTTAAGACCAGCCCTGAGCTCCTAGGCTACGTCTAGTCTGGCCTCATTTTCCACAAATGCTTTTAACGGAAAAGTTTTCCGTTAAAAGCATTTGCGGAAAAGAGCGTCTAGATTGGCAGGACGCTTTTCCACAAACGCACTTTTTGCAGAAAAGCATCTGTGCCAATCTAAATGCACTTTTGCGCAAAAAAGCATGGGAGCAGCATAGTATTTCCGCAAGAAGCACTGATTTCTTACAGGAGATCATCAGTGTTCTTGTGGAAAGTCAAGCGGCCAGTCTAGACACAGCCCTAGAGTCAGGGCCAGTGTTCCCCCTAGGCTGAGTGCTTGGGCAGCTGCCCAGGAGAGATTCAAACACTGCCCAGCTGTTTGGCAGGGCAGCTGCAGCTGGCACCATGTGCCTC